ACCAAATTTATGAGTAAGTTTGAAAACTGTGATTTTTTCCCGAAAACTTTTCAACAATAGGTAAGATGTTTCATTATCAAATGGCATGAGGAAATTACATCTCTATGCCTACATGTCAATATGCAGGTGGAATTATGCATGACACCAAAAACCGGAGTGACAAAAAGAAATACATCTCTATGCATGTCAAATGTAATGTATCTCAGTGATAAGCTCATGTACTCACACTCTCAGAGTCTCACTGTCTCACACTTTTCACTCATCATGCTCAATTACTCGACATGCTCAGTCACTCAGTACTGTATATGGCCAATTCAGCCTAGGGGAAATCCATCCCAAATACATATATATCAACTAACAGTTAGTCACTCAGTACTGTATAGGGCCAATCCAGCCCGGAAAAGAGCCATCCCCAAATATATATGCTTCAGGCAAGATCCATGCCCAGGGAAGATCCATCATTCAGTATAATCAATTGCGCTCACTGGGGGTGTGTACAGATTGCGAAGGGTCTCCTTCAGCCCAAGCACCATAATAAGCCAGATCCAGGCATAAATCAATATAACATGTTGCGGCGTGCAGCCCGATCCCTTAATATCACTCACAATTATGCCCTCGGCCTCACTCAATCATCAATCTCTCTAGTCTCTCGGGCTCACAATGCCATGAAACTAGCCCAAAAATAATGATATGATGTGTCAATATCTAGCAACAGATACTGAGATATGATATGCAATAAATGAACATGACTGAATATGGAATTGCAATGTAAGCAAATAACTCAACAGCAAGAATGACCTCAGTAGGTCCCAACAGAATAAGCATATAGCCTAGATATAGTTTCTAACATGGATCACAGCTCAACAGCTCTAGTACGTAGAGATTTCATAGTTATAGATAAGATCAGGTAACTACACAATACTACAGAAATAATAGAGTCACAATTCATACGGTGCACGCCCACACGACCGTCATCTAGCATGTGTGTCACCTCAACACCAAAGACATAACACAAAATTCGAGGTTTCATACCCCCAGCACCAAGTTTAGAAGTGTTACTTACATCGAACAAGCCAAATCCAATACTGGACAAGCCAAGGGATGCTCCAAAAATGCCATCTCGTGCGTACCGACCTCCTAACGGCTCGAAACTAGCCAAAAGTAACTCAATTACGTCAATTAATGCCTAAGGAAATAATTTCAAATGATAAGGGTCGAATCTTTAATCAAAAGCCCAAAATCGACCCAAAAGTCCAACCCGGGCCCGTACCTTGGAACCCGATGAAAATTACAAAATCTGATAACCCATTCAATTACGAGCCCAACGATACTAGTTTCACTCAAATTTGACTCTCAATCGACATTCAAAACTCAAAAACTCACTTTATGAAGCTTTAGGCTAAAATCCTTAATTTTCTCATTAAAACTCATAATCCAATTACCAAAAATGAAGATAAAATCACGGAATATAATTAAAACCGACTGTAGAACACTTACCCCAATCCTTGTGATGAAATTTGCCTCCAAAATCGCCTCAATCCGAGTCCCGCATCTAAAAATATGAACAAAACGACCAAACTCTCGATTTAAAGCTTCTGCCTAGTCATTTCTGCTTCTACGGACACAAGAGCCGCTTTTGTGGCGTCGCTTCTGTGGCACGAGCTCCACATATGTGGACTCCACTAGCCAACCAACCCCTCGCACCTGCGGATCTCCATCCGCTTCTACGCAACCGCAGGTGCGAAGCCAAACGCGCTACTGCGCTCCATCTCGTTTCTGCGCCCAAGACCATCGCTTCTGCGGGGCCGCAGATGCGCCCAAATTTCCGCTTCTACGATTTTCCTCACCAAGCTCTCCCTCTCTTCTGCAACCAATTATCTATATCTACGGACTCGCATCCGTGTCTATTCTTCCGCAGATGCGGAAGTACCAGAACCAACATGCCTTCAGCAATGCAACATGAAATGAAAATGATCTTAAACTCACTCGGGCTACTCGGGACCCCGTCCAAATATGACAACAAGTCCCATGACGCAACACGAACCTATTCTAGGCCTCAAATCTCACTTAACAACATCAAAATGACGAATCGCACCTCCAATCGACTTAAATGAACTTTGAACTTTCAATTTCCGAAACTTGCGCCAAAACATATCAAATCAACTCGGAATAAACCCAAATTATACACACAAGTACCAAATGACATAGCAAAGCTATTTAAATTCCCTGAACCAAAATTCAAATCCGATATCCTCAAAGTCAACTTCCGGTCAAACTTATGAACTTTCCAAACCTTCAAATTTCCGGCTTTCGCCATTTAGTGACGAATCCTTCTAGAAATATCCAAATGTAAATCCGGGCATACATCCGAATCCAAAATTGCCATTCGGATCTAACAGAGCCATCAAAACTCTGTTCCGAGGTCAAATTCATAAAAGTCAAACTTGGTCGACTCTTCCTACTTAAAGCTTAAATCATGAAATTCATTATTTCAAATCGATTTTGAATAATCTGAAAACTAAAATCAATGATTCACATAAGTCATAATACATCATACGGATCTACTCATGCCCTCAAACTACCGAGCGAAGTGCAAATTCTCAAAACGACCAGTCGGGTCATTGCAACAGGAATTATGGTCATAGGGAAGTTCTCTCAAAAGTTTGAACTGGATGCTCCTCAGATGGTGTACAAAACTGATATGACCCCTTTCCACAAGTTGTTGTTTCACTTTGTCAATTTCTGCATTTTATAGAGGTTTGAGAGAAGGCATGAGGCTACCCTGTTAGATATGGCTGTGATGGAACTGCTTGACACTAGTATACCTATCAATCTCCCTAGCTTGTGATTCAGCACCTGGCAAGAGTTACAGATACCTCCAAGCCTAAGCATGTTATGCTTTATGGATTCATGTTGACTGAGTTGTTTGACAAGCTTAACATTGTCGCTTAAGTATAGAAATCATAATGATATCTTCCTGTTAGCAGCAGGGCAGAAGACCAACAAGTTCTGCTATTCTACCTGGTAGCAGCATGGCAGCAGAGCTCACTAAGAGGTTGGAGTTGACTGTTGAGGAAAATGCCAAGCTTCGAGAAGATAATTATGAGTTGAGAAAAGAAACCAGACAGCTTAGGGAAGAGCTCAGAAGGGATAGGGAAGCTCATGCCCAATAGATTGCCACCCTTGTAAAAGCATTGACCCCATCTACCTCTCACCCATGAACTTGTTCCTTCCCCTAGTGTCCTTAGTTTCTTTTGTTATCCCACTGATGCTTTAGTTTTTTTTTCTTCTGTTCTAGTCTGAGTAGGTTGCAGCATGTTTAATTTATTTTGGTCTAATGGTTTAAGATAAGGCCCTGAGCTTATTTTGGAACTGCTAAATGACTTCTCTTATAATGTTTTAATGCTTCACATATGGTTATCATTAACTTAGTCGGTTTGCTTTGATAATTCTTGAGCTTGTATTGTAGCCTGTATGGCCATGAATCTTTCATTAACTGTGCTTAATATGTCTAACATCTTTTTATTATTTTTTTATGATGCCAAAAAAGGGAAGACAGAGTTGGGGTGCAGTGTATGTTGTTATGGATATGTTTGTATGTGGTGTAATGCGCTTGTTGATCATGATTTGGTGTGATTACCCGGTTCTAGTATGTACAAAGTTTGTCATCATCAAAAAAGGGGAATTTGTTGAGTATTGAGATTTTGATGATTAGCAAAGTTTATTCAGTTGAAGTGTTCTAAAAACCAAATCCCCAACATAGCTGCCTAACCGCTTTAAGAACCAGCTCCTCAGGGTTAAGGACCAGCTCCTCAAGGTTAAGGACCAGCTCCTCGGGGTTGATGATTGTACATATTTTCAAGAAAGTAAATTTATATCAAAGTTACCTAGGTCCGAGTTTGGTTGAAGAAGACTGCTACTTATGATAAGGGTCGTTGCCCAAGAAAATACGTATGAATGAGAGAGAGACAAGAGTCCCAAGACTTGTGGAGTCTTTGAAACAGAAGGAGTCCTATCAAACGAGAAGCTGACTACTTTTAGGACTCCTAGAAGATCAGCACGTCAACTAAAGAATTACATTTTACACACTACTAGTTGAGTACCCGTATTGTTTTCTTCTTGAGTCATTCTAGTGAATGTATTTTAGGAAGTGTCACAAATAATTAGTGAGTTGGAGTGAGTGGTTGTTTTACAAGTTAGAGTAACTTGTAAATCAAATAGTTGTAGTAGGAGTACTAGAGAGTATTGATTTACAGTTTTGTACTCGATATATTTGGCTCATTGTTCTAGTGAAGTTGAAATTAAAAATTCTACGTAGTAGGTCGTGGTTTTTGCACTTTTTCAGCCGGGTGATTTTTCACGTAAAATTTATTGTTTTTACTTTACTGCTTATTTTACTTCACGTTTAAGGAGTAAGGTAAAGAACCAAGTTCTTTAGTAATTCATAAGGTCACTCAAACTAACACAACTTTTCCAAACATCTTAAAAATATTTGTGAATATAGTATCTTAATTTGAGTTATATAAAGAAGAATTCTTATATAGAGTTAATAGCCTATTTGACCAAGCTTCTTTTTGGTCGAAAGTATTTTTTTTCTAAAGTTAAAATATTTGGCCAGACTTTTAGAAGGAAAAAAATATTTTTGAGTAGAAGCAGAAGCAATTTTTGAGAAATGGAAAAAATAGTTTATCCCCAAAGGCACTTTTGAAAAAAATACACTTAAAAATACTTTTTAAAAGTTTGGCCAAAATACTAATTACTGTTCAAAAGTGTTTTTTAAATTAATCAGTCAAGCACAAACTACTTCTCAAAAAAATACTTTTTTGAAAATTATTTTTGAAAAAAATACTTTTCAAAATAAGTTTTTTTTTAGAGGTTTCGCCAAATATGTTAATGTGTTGATCCTTCGTGTTTTAGACCTTTTCAGAACCCTTGTACTTAAAACCTTGTCGCTTTTTTGGGGGGGGGGGCACAAATGGAGTATTTTCCTTTTGAAAAAAACCCCACAAGCCCCAAAACGGAAAAGGGGGAAAGAGTTCAGGTATGTAATTGCTTCGAGCTGCTTGTCAGGTTTTAATTCACTCGACACTGATATTTTTCAACGTCTTTGTTCTAGTGCTATTTGATTGTTTATTATAGGTTTAAAGCGACAATTTGATTTCTGTACTTTTCTAGTCTTTCCCACTCTGATTGGGAACAAGTCCTCTTGTTTTTGGACGAGTTTGTCTCTGTTTAGTGTGTAGTCGTCAAAAAACTTACCTGTTAATTTTCCTTATATTTAAGATATGATTTACCACATAGCTATATCCCTCAAGAGTGTTGGGGAATGTTCCATATCAAAAAAGAAAAAAAAATGTTGGAGAATTTTAATGACATATATCATGGAAGTTACCTTTCCCGATAACAACCAAGCTTTATTGAAAACCTGAGTGTACACAGATAGTATGTCCTTCAATCTTTCCCATGTTGAAATTTGCCCTTAGCAGTCCCTTGCAGCTCTGATCACGAGTGATACACTTGCGTGCATTGAATTCAGAAATAGGCATGTTTATGGAAACCTTACCGAAACTTTTCTGTAACCTTCATAGACCTGTGGTGAAAAGTGATGCACTTGAATTAGCACCCAAGGGTGTGCCTAGCGGTCAATGAAGTGGGTTGAGAACCATAAGGTCTTAGGTTCAAATTCCAGCGGAGACAAAAAGACTAGGTGGTTTCTTCGCATCAACCCAAGCCTTACTGGACAGAGTTACTCGGTACCTATGCTGGTGGCAGGTAGCAAGTACCCCGTGGAATTAGTCGAGGTGCGCGCAAGCTGGCCCGAATGCCGTGGTTATAAAAAAAAGTAGTGTTTTTCCCCCTTAACAAACCTAGAAATTTTTGAAAAGATCTGGAGTCATTTGAATGATTTGTCACATTTGAATTTCTAACACTCTCTTCTTATCTTTTGTTTTTGGTTCCTGTATACCTAGAGTGCTTTACATTGTGTTAAAAGCTTAGGACGGTCTTGCTCTATAATCTGAGCTTAACAATTGAGCTTCTCCTCCTGTTGTTCAAACAGTCACCCTGGGCAGCATCATATTCCTGCTCCTGTAAAAAATGAAGGTAGTATTATGGAACTCACATCACCCAGACTAAAACCAGAGCAAGCTAGCATGCCTCATGCTGGATATGCACCTCAGTCGAACTGGACACCTTTAGCAAGCAGAGGGATGCCCGAAGTTGGTACTGGAAAAGCTGATATGTTGGTTCCGATTCCATCACCTAGAGGTACTTGTCCATTACTCTAGTTGTGATCTTTCCAGTAGCAGTTTGATGCTCATTGTCATACTCATTGTCATACGGTTCTCCTGATGATTTCTGCAGGTAATAATATATTCTCTGGTGTTGTTAATGACATGTGGATGCACAGGAAAACTGAAGCAGAGCTTCATTCTAGACCGGCAATTGTTGCCTGCAATCCTGCACCTCCTCAATTGCCTACTAGACCACTACAGCCTATTCAAGGACCTCCTACCGTGCCGCCGCCAGTTCAAGCACTTCCTCCTGCAGCAGCACAGCCAATTCAAGGACCTCCTATTGCACCACCACAGCAAGCACAACCGCCGCCCTTTGGGCTCCCAATGTACTTCCCCCCAACTGGGTGGGATTCACGTGGTCTGAACCATAACTTGCCTCCAAATCCAATTCCATCTGGTGCACTTCCTACTAATCTCCACCATTGTTCAGTTGCACCACCATTTGTACCTGCTTCTGTGACTCCACTGTCACAGATGCAAGGCACCTCCATGCCACCATTTGATCATATGTTTCCCGTGCCTGTTGTTCGACCACCAGTTACGTCTTTACCACCACCACCTCCTCAGCTCGACTCATTACCCCCATTACCTCCACCTGTCTTGCAGCCTCCATTACCTTCATCCCCGCCTCCACCACCTTATCCTGACCCACCTAATATTCCTCCTCCACCTAGTTCCCCGCCTCCCCCGCCACCTCCATTATCGGAATCTTTGAATTTGGTTAGTTCTGAACCATACTTGCAGTATCAGTGGCGGGGCTCCTTGAGTAAAAGTGGAGTTCATTACTGTACGATTTATGCACAAAGAGTAGAGTCGGATGTTTGCAGGTATTCAAATGCCAATGCTGAGCCCACAGAGTAAGGACTTCAGTGCCTTTGATGTTTTGATGATTGATTTGTAAATATTCTTTTTTTTAAAAGTGGAAATGTGTGCAGATGGCCTGCTAAGTTGGATATGACCAAACGCACTGATTTTCGGCATGTCAAATCAACATTTTGTAGTACACCACCCCACAAAGTGAGTCCTTTGAACATTATAAGGAACGCTCTGCATATCATATATATATATATATAGCACATATTAGCACCTTTTGATAATTGTTGTTTGGCAGCTTTACTCTTTGTATATCTGTGCCATATCTTTACCAGGTTTACCTATTCTAACATTTCTACTTTCTTGTTCAAATTAATGTGACACAGAAGGAGATATGCTGGTTGCTACCTTCTTCTCCAATAGATCACAAGGGCGTAAGTTAATCATGCTCTCCTTCAGTTTTCATTACAGATGAATGCAGTCATGATGTATGCTAGATGGTAGATGGAGAAATGTTTTTGTGTATCTTCCCAAATTACTTGTTATCACCTTGATTTGTGCGCGTATTTTTCCCTAAAATGGGAACTAAATAGAATTTCCAAAGAAAATCATTTTAGAAAGAGGATCCAGATATAGGAATTTGAACTTTTTCCTCAGCTGTTTGCTAAAATAATTAGTCCAGTATCCAACTTTTCCCACTGGTTTTATCCATGACTTGCTATATATGCTCAGATATGGACCTTAAGGAGATTTTTTCTGCATTTACTTTTTACTTTTCAAAATTCCTTCTATTTTTTTGCAACAATTGCTCAATTGTTACAACTGGAAGCGATTTAGAGGACTAAAATGTAGTAACTTGCTTTGCAGTTTCATGATTTTATATCATACCTGAAGCAGAGGGAATGTGCTGGTGTAATTAAAATTCCAGCCATAAAATCAATGTGGGCAAGGCTTCTCTTCATCCTTCCACAGTCATCTGATACCTGCTCTATGCTCTCAGTTGTGCCTAATCCATCTCTTTGTCTAATTGGTCTGGTGTTGCCTAAAGAAACAAACTTTGAATGGGTGTGATGTTAGTATATGTGGGCAATACCGCATCGGGAAAAGGATGGACGTGCTGCTAATTGCCAAATGCCTCTGCTCGCCAGGTTTTCTTCAGCTTTTTNTAATGCTGCTGCTCGCCAGGTTTTCTTCAGCTTTTTCCATGATTTTCGTAATGGCATTTTTCAGAGCTTTGGTGAACGCCCATGGATCACAAAGATATTCCCGATGGGCATTCAGTTCTGATTTGCAGTTGCAGCAATGTTGAACGGACCGATAGTGATTTGCTCGCAAGTATCAATCTGATATACAATATCGGGCAATAGATCAACTCCTCATTCTGTTGAACCGCTGTCATCTAGTGTGAGATAGTTACTGGGAAGTTAATGTAATTTTAATTTAAATTGTAGGTAACTCACAAATCATTTCATTGATATTGCACCAAGTTGGTGCCAACTCAATGTTAAGTAATACCGTAGTAGCGATGAAGTTGGAGGAAAGCATCAGGAAAGAATTGAGTGTCTTATTTGTAGGAGTCTTCTGTACTTAGAATCTGCTAAGCCTTTTCTTCTTTCTTTCTTATCTCCGTTTATAGTGGAGCGACATTTTTTGATGTCCATGTAAGCATAGTAGAATATGATTGTATGTAAAGTGTGAAGAAAAATTAGCTACACGAATGTTAACTATTTGGTGCTGGCTTCGCTATGGATGGACTGCTGGTATGTAGCTCGACGTTCTAATTTTTGATAGTATGCAATGTGAGTAAAGTTCTATTTATGGGGTTAGAAAATTCTTTCTATTTCCGTAAGACCCATGTTCCCTTATTACCGCTTGAGTTCAGACTAAGATAAATCGAAGTGTATGATTATAATCTTATCAAAGGAAAATAAAATCATTCAACTCTATTATACATTATCAAACAGTTGTCCGACTTTGTGTTTGAATCTGATGTAGACTAGTAGTCGAGTTAGCTCTTTGCTGACATCGACTCATGTACAATGTCCGGTTGCTGGTCATGTCTCCGGTCCAGTTTAGCAGCCAAGGGCGGCTGAGGTTACTATCTTGAACATGCTAAAGACTATATCATTGGCACCTTTCACTCAAACAATAGTAGCAGTGAAAATTGCTTGCAACCATTATCACTGGAAAGGCAAAATTTGTTTCTTGTACTATCGAAGATAGTAGGCAGTGGAAAGAACCCTATAAGCATTATTTCAGTTCCAACTCTGAAGATAAAGATAATAAATTGTACTATGAAACAACTAGAACTTATCAATGAATAAGCATACTTTATTATTATTTCTAGCAGTAGATCTATTTGGTATATACATATTTTCTTGCAATATTATCATAAAAATTACCAAGTATGTAGTTTAAATCATAAAACACATAAGGTAGACAGGGGCAGATGTAGTATTTTAAAGCCGGGTTCATTTGAACCAAATACTTTTGATACAGAGTATAAATTCATGTGTAAGAATATATTAAAATTGTAACAAATAATATGTCTGAATTCATAATAATAAAAATACAATTAATTCAATACTAAAAACCTTAAAGACTGAATCCATAAAGTTTAAATCATTGATGCGCGAAGGTTGAGTATCGATGCACAAATACGAGGATACGGGAAAAAAAACGAAAAAACAAGAAGCAATGATAGACTTGGGACAAAGTATTACTCCATCATTAGTATTAGCAGAAGTAAAGATCAAATCATCCCTTAGATATCAATACGAAAACGGAAAAGATCCAAAATTGCCCTGAACTATGAGAAATGAAGCAATTTTATCCTCCGTTAATAATTGGGGTCAGATACACCCCTATCGTTACCAAATGGACTCAAATATACTCTTATTGACTAACAATCAACTATTAAAAAAGTAATTAATCTTTTGTCGAATCAGTATTTTCCACATGTCCAAGCTTAAAATTAAACCAACCCCAAACATTAAAAATTCTTTCTCTTCCTCCTCATCTTCTCACACCATGACTCCTCCCTACCAGCGGCCACTCGAAAATTTCGCCGGCAATTTCGAGCTCATATTAGAACTATAATCTATAGCTCAATTGGTTATTTTAGCGAACTAGCTCACAATTTTCCCTGATTCTTAGACAATATTTTCTATTTATAGTGGATATGTAAATCATTAGTTCTTTGTTGGAAAAGTAATGTGATTTTTGGAACAAAATTAATAAATCCTTGCGGATAAGGAAAGCTAATGACTTTCTTATCTATCCAAGACGCCAATTGGTTTTCTTATGCTGCTTCTGGCAGTGTTAGTTTCCCCCACGGTTAAAGCTTTCTCCATTATCACAAGTTACCCTCATAAATTACATATCAAATAAATCTTTATTGAAATCTCTCAAGAAATATACTTAGATCCTTTCAACTTAGTAGTCACTCCAATAATTATATTCATCTCCTATCTCACATATGTTACAACTTGTAATATTGAATTCTTTTCTTTCTTGAATATGTAACTTCATGTTCATGTGAATTTCATGATCTTTAAACCTCATTATTTGTTTATTAATTTTTAATGAAAATTTAATTGTGGGTTTAGGAGGGAAAAAATAAAGATGGGGAAGTCACCGGGGAAATTTCTGGCGATGGTTGCTGGCAGATGAGTGGCGGTGTGAGAAGATGAAGAGAAAAAGAGATGGTTTAAAATCTTCGGGGTTGATTTAATTTTAAGCTTGGACATCTAGCAAATACCGAAGGATTAATTACTTTCTTAATAGTTGATTGTTAGTCAGTAATGGTATATTTGAGCCCATTTGGTAACAGTAGAGGTATATCTGACCCCAACTATTAACGGAGGTTAAAATTGCTTCATTTCTCATAGTTCAGGAGCAATTTTGGACCTTTTCCGAAATTAAAGTTCAAACCAAGTAAGATTATCTTTTTATGAATATTAATTTTCTAGTATAGTACTTAAACACAATTAAATACCATGGATAATAATTTTCATGAATATTACTTGGGCAAGAAGGTTAATAGCTTGTTTGGCCAAGTTTATTTTTGGGCCAAAAAATATTTTTTTCTTTTTTTCAAAAGCACTTTTGATAAAAAATTGAGGTGTTTGTCCAAGCTTTTAAAAGGAAAAAAATTATTTTTGAAGAGAAACAGAAATAATTTTTAAGAAACAGAAAAAAATAGATTCAATCTAAAAAAATACTTTTGAGAAAAATATATTTAGAATCAATTTTCAAAAAATTGGTCAAACACACTCTAAAGTATTTTTCAAATTAATTAACCAAAAAAAAGTTACCAAACATGCTATAATTTCAACTTCCCCAAAACGATGCTCCAATCCGGTTCGGCGGCACTGAAGGAGAAAAACTATATTCGCCTGTGTGCACGAAGTCAATACATTAACATAACATAGTTTTGAGTATCTAAAATTATAGCTGAAGACATGTCGAATCGCTATTATAGTAGCCAAAACAGGAACGAAAAAACTCAGAAGAAGTTTGTTCCAAAGAAGGAACCTCACAATTCTCAAACCCTAGCAAATTCCTTCAGGCAATCGATCTCTAAGCAATCCGATGGAGGTGCTGCCGCCGTTAACTCCACTAACGCCGGCTCCGCTGCCAGAGAGCTCAGCAGTAGGGTTATGATGGGAAACAGTGGCGCCTGGGTTTCCACCGCTATTCCTAGTGGAAGTTTTGTGGATTATTTGCCTCAGGATGAGGCAGTAGCAGCTGGCCTTGGAGCCGATGAGGGTGCATTGGATCCCGTGGAGTCGCAGCGTGTGGTTGATGTTTTGAACAGGGAGTTGTGTCGGTTACTTAAGATTAATGCAAGAGATTTCTGGCGAGAAGGTGATATTTTGCTCTTGCTTCGTGAAATCTGGTTATGATTTGTATGGTTTGAATAATATGTGAATTCTTAGGTATTATTTGTATCATTTGATTATTTGTAGCGGTCCGATTTGAATAAATTTGCATCAAGTTTATAGGAACGAAGATTGCTCATGTCAACCTTGTTGTTTTTCTGTATTGAAGAAAAAAAATGATTAATGATGTTTGAAGCTTTATAATTTAAACAGACTGCTTATGCTGTGTAGTAAAATGGTTGGACCCCCGTAAAAACACCTTTTTTCGTTATTCCACATTTGCTGCAGAAGACTTCAAAGCTCTATCCTACATTTAATGCTTAGACACCAAAATGCCATGCCAGGCTGAAAGAGAATATTAATCGGTGCTTATAGAAACAATAAAAAGAAAAAAAATCTCCAACCATTGTGCATAATCCTTGTATCAGCAGCGAAATTCCGTTAGAGAAATGTTTGATACGTTTGTTCTGCTTAAAACCAACACCCAAAGAAGATAGTAGTAAATTTGGATTGTTTGTTGCTTATTTATTGAGTAACGACTTGGTCAATGACGCAATGCGTAGGAAAGCATCCAAGGTTTATATGAGCTTTAAGAAAATTAAAGCACGTGCTTTAGTAAATTAAGGTACGGATGATTTTATGCTGCACTTAGTAGTTAGTATCATGGATTAAGCGCCCTTAGTTTAATAACATTGTTGGGTTGTTGTACATTTTTTCTCCTCTCCTGCTTTCGGTCTTTATTAGTGGTCAGCGGCATTTCTCTTCACTCTTTTCTTGAAAGCATTTTTAGGGGAGATGGTACAATTTTCCATACTAGAGCCAGAGTTATAGTCAGGTGTGCTACCTTGCTGGCCACATCAGTGCCATATGATCATTACCTGATACACTACAACAACAAACCCAGTATAATCCGAATAAAATGGGGTCTGGGGAGGGTAGAGTGTACGCAGCCTTACCCCTACCTTGAGAAGGTCTAGCCTGGCATTACCTGATACACTGTAAAGCATAAATTAGGATATTCCTCTTTTGTAATAATATATTTGCCTAATGCTCTTTTTGGGTATACTTTAATTGTGTAATCGTTGCCATTACATTTGCTATGCTCCTTGTAAGATTAAAGAATCTCGATCAAATTCATTCATGTTAAAACATCTTTTTTTTTTTGGGGGGGGGGGGGGGATAGGTTTGAATTGTTTGTTGGTTTGTATATTGTGTTACTGTACAACTTTTACCCATGTCTCCCAATTTCTCTATTTACCAGTGGCCAGCGACAGTTCCCTTCACTCTTTTCTTGAAAGCTTTCTGAAGTTCAGGAGTAGGTGGTATGATTTTCCATATCGAGGAGCCAGGGGTATAGTTGCTGGGGTCATTGTTGGTGAGTTTGAGCTCTGCCGGCGTATCTTTATGGTCTTATATCGCATGTGAGTTACACCATTTCCAAAGTATTTGATGCATCAAGTTGTATTTCCTATGTTGTGCCTTTTGATCTAAACGGCTCTTATATTTAAATTAAATGCTAGATCGTCAAATCGGGACCCTGGAGCTAAGACTGCTGATAGTCTTAGTCAGAAAGATCATGCAGGTGTGTGCCCCTGACTCATTGCAGTTATTATTTATGACCTTTTTAGACTTCAAATTTTATGATTGATTGGAATTTTATTTTGGAGGTCAATTTCAAAAGTTATATACAAGTGGCAGTGCAGGTGTATCATGTTTGTTTTTTGTATTGAATTTTATGCAAGTAAAATGCTTTATTCACTGCCTTTCCTTATATTATGCCTAGCAGGAAGATCATGAATTTCAGAAAATGGAAATACTACCTCTGAAGTGTCAAATAGAAGCGTAGTTTTCTTTCCATTACCTCTGTGTAATAGTGGCTAACAAGTTTGAATCGGCAAGGTTCAATTGCAATATTATGCTTGTGAAAAATTGAACATGTGTAATGTATCTGATTCTAACTCCCTCGAAACAACATCCTAGACCCTTTTTTCTTATGGTTTAATTGGAACATTATCAGCTCTAAGAACCCCCTAATATGACAATGTCCCATTTTAGATTAGATTTTTCAACTCTAATAGCTTGCTTTTTCTGATTTGTCAACCATTTCCGTATATTAGCTTAGAATCAAAGTTATTCAAAACTTGCCATTTTCACAAGCAATGGTGGTTATCCATGCAAGGCCATTGAATTCATTTGCATAGTAAAAGTCCTGAAGATGTATATATTTCTCTAATTATCTTTGGAAATTATATTCGAGTGCACAATATTCACTAATTGCACTTGTAGCCCTTTTGCAGGAAAAGAAGTTGCTTGATTTACCAAAGTTATTAGACATATGTGCCATATATGGTCATGAAAATGAAGATCTGACAAGAATATTGGTATGTTAACTGTACTGGCTTGTCGCTAAGCGATTGATGATATGGCTTATTGTTCTTTGGTTTCAGTTTTATCTTGTTTCATAACACAAATCCCGATGGTGAGCTAACATTTCTGACCTATTATTCTGCTTCCAGTGGCAGGAAAATTGTCCTGTTAGAGGACAAGAAATATGAGAAATACTATTTCACTTCTGTGCCTTTACCCGTTCTTTGGATCCTTCTTCTTCCTCCCTTCACTAAAATTTAAAACTAAAAAGAGTATTATAGAGGGTATCACATGCAAATTGATCAAATGGACCAACTTTCAACTTCAGAAGTTCATCAGCAAATTGGCCTTGAAATTTGAACATTTCAGGCACCTTCTGTAAGATATAAACATCTGAGGAAATAACTACTGTAGTTGTTTTCTTGTCTTTCTATGGGGTGGGGAACACACAGAGTATCAAAATTACTGCCCATCCATGTCATGTGGCAGCTTTATCTCTTGTCTAGCTAAGAATAGCTTCACCAAGAAATCAAAAACTTCTAATATATGAAGAGAAAATCTAGAAACCGTCCACGTAAAAATGTAAAACTCTTTGCTTAAATGCTCTTACATGTAAAACTTCTATCTATGAGTTGTTTACTCTCAAAGATTTATATGTCGGTAGAAAATATAATGAACTTCTAGTACTTATTATTATTATATTTATTTATTTTTATTCAATATAATATGGTTACTATTTTCTTTATTTTTATTTTTATTCTATATAATATTGGCATGTACATTACACCCCCTTAGGTGCGGTCCCTCCCAAGACAACGCGGGATGCTTTATGTATCGGGGCGCCCTTTAGTATAATTTGTGGCAGTTGTGTAATGTAATGGTTGGGAAATGCTTTTTGATGAATATTGGGAACTTGGTTTTCTTCATGAGCCTAGACTTCTATTACTACTTGTTGTCGTCTTAGTTTTTGGTTTTTTGATTGCATTACTTACTGCTAGTTTTGTATTTTTGCTTCGGTTGTCAGATTGGTTTGCTTGTTATTGCCCCTCCCCTCTCCCCTTCCTGAGCCGAGGGTCTACCGGAAACAGCCTCTCTGCCTTCTTAAAAGCAGGGGTAAGGTCTGCGTACACTCTAACCTTCCCAAACCCCACTTGTGGGACTACACTGAGTATGTTGTTGTTGTATAATATTGGCCTGAGATGAGTTTAAATGGAGTAATATGGTATAAATTTTACTACTTCAAAAAAAAAAAAGTAATACGGTCAGTGAGGATTCATATAGCTGACCCAAGCTTGTTTGAGGCTGCGATGTTGTTGTTTAGATGCTTTTACAAGTTTTAGGTATGGAATCATATGTCAGTTGTGCACATGCTTTGCATGACGATCTATTGAAGGATGGACTAAAAATACCTAGATGGAGTTAAAATTTTGATATTTAGATCAGTGTTTTGGATAGCGTGCGGCGGCAAATAGCGACGAGGGTCCGCTTCACTGAGGCGAGAGGCGTGCAGCGAAGCGCTCGCCTTTTTGATGTGAAGCGACAATTTATACAAAAACATAAAATATTATATATATTAATAAATATATCAATTCAAAAGTTAAACTCAACAGATAGTCATAGTAGATTCATAAACTAAAGTCTAAAGTGTAAAACACGCAACATCTATTCTTCTTCAAGATTTTCAAATTCTAGAACTTCATGAATGTTAGCATTATATTGGCTATCATCTTCTTCATCCTCGGAGTCTTCATCATTTAGGGACCGGCTTGAACTTGCTACTCCTTTTCCCTTGTAATTTGAACTTGAAGAACTCCCTCTAAGACCATAGATATTCTCCTCAACACCAGCCGCCATAGAAACAGTACCCCAATCAAGATCATCTCCTACATATACTTGTTCTTCTTCATGATTTTGTGGGGCTCCAGTTAACCATTCATTTGCCTCGTCAATGTTATCCAACAAAATTGGATCAATGGTATCGCGAGCTTCATAACGTCGCCTCAATGTTCTATTGTATTTAATATACACTAGATCATTGAGACGCGATAACTCAAGCCTATTCCTTTTCTTGGAGTGAATCTGCGCATAAATTGTTTAGATTAATTAATAGATACTAATAATAATACAATATAGAATATTTTAATATAATAAGTCTGTTTCTTACATGCTCAAATACGCTCCAATTTCTCTCGCATCCGGATGCACTACAAGTTAGGCTTAGTATTTTGATGGCAAACTTTTGCAAGTTTGGAGTTTGATGTCCAAATTGCATCCACCATTCAACTATAGAAAAATATTTTAAAAGTTAATAAGTATAAATCAAATAAATTAAATTAAAGCTATAAGGATATCTATATTAAAGTTAGTTACCTGGCGACCTTATTTCTCTGGCTCTAATGGCCGCCTGTAAACCAAAAAGGCCATCTGCTTGTGAGTACCTACCAAACTCCTCCCCTATTTGATCTACCATCGCTGAATCAGGGACCAACTTCTCAAGACATTGATGGTATCCAACCCAAACCTCTGAATCCAAAGTGTCATTTCTAGTGTTCTTGTAAAATAATCCTGGGTTCAGAAGATGGCCTGCTGCATGCAAAGGTCGATGGAATTGATTCGACCACCTGCTATCAATAATCTCAAAAACTTTCTCATATTTCCTAACATCTCCCTCAAATGACGCTTCAATAGTCTCTTTGGCTCTATCCATAGCTTCATAAAGATAGCCCATTGGTGGTTTTCTCTCCCCATCCACCATACGAAGCACCCTAATCAAAGGACCACCAACTTTAAGAGCCCGAACAACGTCATTCCAGAATGATGGAGAAATAAGAACTTTGGCAACTTCTTTCCCCGCAGCTTCCTTTGCATATCTATTATCTTTCCATTCATTTGAAAGAACTAGCTTTCTCAAGTTTTTCTTTTGCAAGTAAAAACTATGCAAAGTTAAGAAAGCCGTTGCAAATCTAGTCTTGGCCGGTCTCACCAAATTTCTTTCATTTGTGAATTTCCTCATCAAATTCAACAACAACGGCCTCTGACTGATGTAAGAATATATCTTGACGGCCTTAGTGAAAACTATAAAAGTAACAATAACAATTTTATAGTTAATACTTAATAGGACATAAGTATAAAACTATAAATAAAGTTAAAGCTTTAAAGATAACTATATTAAAGTTACCTGAAGCATATGGGTTTTCCTTGAATATGTCACCAAACATCAAGTTGATACAATGGGCAGCACATGGAGTCCAATAAATGTGTGGATACATAGCTTCCATCATCCTACCCGCACTAACATTCTCACTAGCATTATCGGTAACAACCTGTACAACATTTTCCTTTCCAATTTTATCAATAGTCTTTGTAAACAAGTTGTACATTTTGCTTCCATCCGTAGAAGAGTTGCTAGCATCGTAAGATTCAAGAAAAACACTCCCTTTTGGAGAGTTCACCAACACATTTATGATCATTTTCCCATTCCGCGTTGTCCATTTATCCATCATAATGGAACATCCAAACTTGTTCCATTCCACTTTATGCTCCTCAATAATTTTGTCTATCTTCTTCACCTCTTTTTTAAGATGAGTTACTCTAACTTCATGATAGCTAGGAGGCTTCATTCCTGGGCCATATTGTCCTACAGCTTCAATGAATTTATCAAAAGTTTTGTAGTTAACACAGTTGAAAGGAAGCCCTGCATCGTACATCCATGCTGCAAAGGCACTTACGGCGCGATCCCTCAAAATCTTCTTGGCTTCTAAACCTGAACTAGAATCATCTTTTCCCTTTTCTTGTTGTTTTGCCGAGAAATAAAGATTGAGAGGACCTTTTGTCACAGTACGTGCCGTGGATGACCCACTAGAACTATTAGAAGATATCTTTTGAGTTTTTTGGAGGGGAGGTCCCATTTGATCATCTTCATCCATTTCATCATCTTCATCAATTAGATTCACCGATGCTTCAAAATTCATTTGAGTTTTTGTCACATTTTTCTTATCAACAAATGCTTTTACTTCCTCCCTAACCTCGGGCGGACAAAGAGGACATTGTACTACATTTTTAAATCCACCTATCAAATGTTGCTTGTGACGAGTTATTCCACCATGATATGTTTTTTCACAAAATACACATTTAATTGCGGATCTTGATGAGCCTTTTATAGCATAATTCCAAGCTATATCATTTCGTTTATTACTATCGGATGACGCCATTTCAATGCTGTTTTATAGAAAAAAAATTATCACGTCAGTATGCAATTAATTCTATTCTGTAAGACTATAAGTTTATAATTGAAAAAACATAGCAAAAAAAAAACAGAGCCTAAAAAGAGACTACTGCTACTGCCTCTGCTGTCGAAAAAGAAACCCAAAAAAAAATAAGAGAAGAAGGGAAGAAAGAGGAAGGGAAGAAAGAAAGAAAGAGCCCCTGCTCTGCTCTGCTCTGCCTCTGCTCGAAAAACAGCGCACCAAAAATAAGACAAGAAGAAGAAGAAGAAGAAGAAGAAGAAGGAAGAAAGAAAGAAAGAAGAAGGAGTTGATCGCTGAACTGAAGAAAGAAGAAGAAGAAAAAGAAAAATCGAAGTGTTGACTGTCGAAGTCGAAGAAGAAGAGAAGAAGAAGAAGAAGAAGAAGAAAGGAGAAGAAGGAGATCGCTGAACTGAAGAAAGAAGAAAGAACAAGAAAAAGAAAAAGAAAAAAGAAGATGACAGCAATGGTCGAATCCAAGTGTCGACTGTCGAAGTCGAAGAAGAAGAAGAAGAAGAAAAAAGGAGAAGAAAGTAACATACCTGGTTTACTGTGCTGATGTTTGATTATGGAGAAGATGAATCCCAAGCCCTAATCTTTGAAGTTGCTTAGTTGTATTCGCTGAAGGAGAAGAAGTTAAANACTGAATCAGGGACCAACTTCTCAAGACATTGATGGTACCAACCCAAACCTCTGAATCCAAAGTGTCATCTCTAGTGTTCTTGTAAAATAATCCTGGGTTCAGAAGATGGCCTGCTGCATGCAAAGGTCGATGGAGTTGATTCGACCACCTGCTATCAATAATCTCAAAAACTTTCTCATATTTCCTAACATCTCCCTCAAATGACGCTTCAATAGTCTCTTTGGCTCTATCCATAGCTTCATAAAGATAGCCCATTGGTGGTTTTCTCTCCCCATCCACCATACGAAGCACCCTAATCAAAGGACCACCAACTTTAAGAGCCCGAACAACGTCATTCCAGAATGATGGAGAAATAAGAACTTTGGCAACTTTTTTCCCCGCAGCTTCCTTTGCATATCTATTATCTTTCCATTCATTTGAAAGAACTAGCTTTCTCAAGTTTTTCTTTTGCAAGTAAAAACTATGCAAAGTTAAGAAAGCCGTTGCAAATCTAGTCTTGGCCGGTCTCACCAAATTTCTTTCATTTGTGAATTTCCTCATCAAATTCAACAACAACGGCCTCTGACTGATGTAAGAATATATCTTGACGGCCTTAGTGAAAACTATAAAAGTAACAATAACAATTTTATAGTTAATACTTAATAGGACATAAGTATAAAACTATAAATAAAGTTAAAGCTTTAAAGATAACTATATTAAAGTTACCTGAAGCATATGGGTTTTCCTTGAATATGTCACCAAACATCAAGTTGATACAATGGGCAGCACATGGAGTCCAATAAATGTGTGGATACATAGCTTCCATCATCTTACCCGCACTAACATTCTCACTAGCATTATCGGTAACAACCTGTACAACATTTTCCTTTCCAATTTTATCAATAGTCTTTCTAAACAAGATGTACATTTTGCTTCCATCCGTAGAAGAGTTGCTAGCATCGTAAGATTCAAGAAAAACACTCCCTTTTGGAGAGTTCACCAACACATTTATGATCATTTTCCCATTCCGCGCTGTCCATTTATCCATCATAATGGAACATCCAAACTTGTTCCATTCCACTTTATGCTCCTCAATAATTTTGTCTATCTTCTTCACCTCTTTTTTAAGATGAGTTACTCTAACTTCATGATAGCTAGGAGGCTTCATTCCTGGGCCATATTGTCCTACGGCCTCAATGAATTTATCAAAAGTTTTGTAGTTAACACAGTTGAAAGGAAGCCCTGCATCGTACATCCATGCTGCAAAGGCACTTACGGCGCGATCCCTCAAAATCTTCTTGGCTTCTAAACCTGAACTAGAATCATCTTTTCCCTTTTCTTGTTGTTTTGCCGAGAAATAAAGATTGAGAGGACCTTTTGTCACAGTACGTGCCGTGGATGACCCACTAGAACTATTAGAAGATATCTTTTGAGTTTTTTGGAGGGGAGGTCCCATTTGATCATCTTCATCCATTTCATCATCTTCATCAATTAGATTCACCGATGCTTCAAAATTCATTTGAGTTTTTGTCACATTTTTCTTATCAACAAATGCTTTTACTTCCTCCCTAACCTCGGGCGGACAAAGAGGACATTGTACTACATTTTTAAATCCACCTATCAAATGTTGCTTGTGACGAGTTATTCCACCATGATATGTTTTTTCACAAAATACACATTTAATTGCGGATCTTGATGAGCCTTTTATAGCATAATTCCAAGCTATATCATTTCGTTTATTACTATCGGATGACGCCATTTCAATGCTGTTTTATAGAAAAAAAATTATCACGTCAGTATGCAATTAATTCTATTCTATAAGACTATAAGTTTATAATTGAAAAAACATAGCAAAAAAAAAAACAGAGCCTAAAAAGAGACTACTGCTACTGCCTCTGCTGTCGAAAAACAAACCCAAAAAAAAAATAAGAGAAGAAGAAAGAGGAAGGGAAGAAAGAGGAAGGGAAGAAAGAAAGAAAGAGCCCCTGCTCTGCTCTGCTCTGCCTCTGCTCGAAAAACAGAGCACCAAAAATAAGACAAGAAGAAGAAGAAGAAGAAGAAGAAGAAGAAGAAGAAGAAGAAGGAAGAAAGAAAGAAAGAAGAAGGAGTTGATCGCTGAACTGAAGAAAGAAGAAGAAGAAAAAGAAAAATCGAAGTGTTGACTGTCGAAGTCGAAGAAGAAGAGAAGAAGAAGAAGAAGAAGAAGAAAGGAGAAGAAGGAGATCGCTGAACTGAAGAAAGAAGAAAGAACAAGAAAAAGAAAAAGAAAAAAGAAGATGACAGCAATGGTCGAATCCAAGTGTCGACTGTCGAAGTCGAAGAAGAAGAAGAAGAAGAAAAAAGGAGAAGAAAGTAACATACCTGGTTTACTGTGCTGATGTTTGATTATGGAGAAGATGAATCCCAAGCCCTAATCTTTGAAGTTGCTTAGTTGTATTCGCTGAAGGAGAAGAAGTTAAAACCCAAGCCCTAATATTTGTATTTTACACTGTCGCTGCCTTTTTCTTCTTTTTCTCCAAATAGCGTCGCTACGCTACGCCTCTCGCTACACAGGCAGAAGCGTACGCTTTTTCAGAATCGCACCGCAACAGCCCAAAATAGCGCTACTGCCTCGCGCCGCGTCGCCACACCCTATTAGCGACGTAGCGCTCGCTATTTACAACACTGATTTAGATCAACACTGCTTTGTAGATCTTCTGCATATCTCTGAAATATTCCCTGGTGGATTAGGCGTTGAGACCAATTTCATATAAATGTTTGTAAACATTGGGATCATTACTTAGCTTCCTGAACTAAGAAGAGTTTGTAGTAGAGAGATTTAAGCACAGCCTACTATAAAATTCAATTTTTGTCTTGGGTTAAATATCACGTGCATGACCCACTGCAATCACAGTGCCTATTCTTTTAGGCCTCAAATCTGACAAGTGCACTGTAGTCGTGCTGCATATGGCAGCAAATGGGGTTCATTTGGTCTTGTCACCAATTTTAACTCAAGAAACAACTGTGTCAAAAGAAAATGTATCAGGAGATCTAGATGAACCGTTTACTTTTGTTTTGTTTTTGCTTATGATTTGTAAAATACTTGTGACAGCTCCTAGTTGGTGCTATGTTAATAATACACTTACTATTTCTCTCGAGAAAATTAAAAAAGAAACAACTGTTTGGAATTCTTTTCTTAAGCATTCAGTGAAACCAAATTTAGAAACAGTTTCCTTTGCCTTCGACATACATTTTGATAAGACAGTGCTTCCTGTTGTCATTTCTGCTTTGTGTTTGCTTTTCCTGCTTCATCCAAATTTGAGTATTTTCTTCTTTTTAATCAAGGATGCTATTGGATATTCAGATTCCCTGTTTCTGACTCATGTCTGTATCGATGTTGTTCAGGTCTTCAATGCCATAAAGTCACAGCCATGGATCCATGATGATCTTTCATCTGTTATTTCGCACTTTCTTAGCATCGTGCAGACTATGTATCAGAGGTGTACATCATCGTTAGAGGTATTCTTCCTTTAATGGCCTGTACTCTTAATTGACATCTTTACATTTATTAAACATAGGGGGTCAGGGAAAGGGGATATGGAAGACGGAGTAGTTGGAATCAAACCCGCACTTATTGCGTGAGAGAATCCTCTGATACCAGTATACCACTAAACTTTATGTCTTGTGGTACCCTTTATTCATTTAAAGAGTCGGTGAATTATCCAACATTGATTTGTGCTTTATTTCTGTTACTGAGATTTGAAATATTAGACTTTCCCCTATTTTTCTTTGCTTCCTACTTTGCATGTTCCTGTACTTCCATTGCCAGAGTGGTTCCTGGTTGCATATATCTCAGATGCTTTTGTATAGAGTACAAGCTTTTTTTGTTAAGTAGAAACTTGCATCTCACTGTTTGTCCAAAAGGCATGAATGTATAAGTTCAAGCTTTCCTTGAGGTCGTTTCAAGCTAACATCATTTGATTTACTTTTAAGATAAGAAATATTTTCATTTTATATTATGGGAATAAGTATATGCTTGAATAGACGAATTTGGGGTCTACTACGAGCTATTTTTTTGAGTTTTTTTTTTTGGAATGTGTTGAAGATATAGTTAAGTAAATAAAAGTGTGCTCTCAGGTTTAAGTTTTTAGATGAGATAGTCACATTACAATAGAGTGCTTATGTGTTGTATTTAGATGTGTATGGAGTGGTGTACTTATATGCAGAAATGATAAATGCAGTTGTCTGTGCTTAGTACACGTGTTTCTTTTACTACCATGGTTCTAGTTTTATGAATATCTTGAGCCATCTAGATGTATGTTGATATACATACTGTTAAATGTGGGTTTCTCATAAGGATGCTGGCGATCGCAAAAAAGATCTTGCAAAGGGTTATCCAAAGTTATACAGGACTAACTATTGTATGGCTGACTGCAGGTTTTATTTTCCTCTGGTCACTTGCAAGATCATGGGCACAATCGACTTCAAACAGACTATCTAGAGGTGAGTTGAGTTGAGTTTATTCCGATGGGCAGTAAGATAGTTCAGGAATATGTGTATATATCTGTGTGGTTTCTTTTGTTTGAATAAGGATGCTAACTTAGTACAAATGAGAACATTCCTTCATGTGGAGACCACTGAATTTTGAGATGATTGCACTGCGCTCTTTTAGGGGAAAATTATCCACCAAAAACTTTTATTTC